TCACCCCCTTGCAAAAAAGATCAAACATTTCTTCAATGGAATTGGTATCTTTGTGATCAAGTCTTAAATTGTTTGAAAAATGCCACATAGAAATAAAAGTGTCCCTAGGATTCCTACACAAGTAAACAAGTTTGGTTTCTGAATTTTGAACAGATTTTGGCAATGAAACAAAGGGCACATGAGTTGCCAAAAGTCTCGGTGAAGTGAAAGATGAAAAATCAGGGACTTGACCATCAACATAGAGTGTATGTTCCAAGAATGGAACAAGAACATGAGGATTCTTGACAAGTAAAGGATGATTTTGTTCAAAAATAGAATGTTTCGTTCGATTTACTAGAGCAAATAAAAGTGATTTTAACCAAGTGGTCCCTGATTTTGGAGTTGTAACAAGAATGATATCAGTGTCTTGAGCTTGAAATTGTTGTTGACATGCAATAACACCTTGGATCAATCTTGGTGATGTCCAAAATCCTTGGTATTTGTAGATATATGATCCAATCCATCCCTTTTCTTTTGGAAGGGTAGAGAGCAATTTCTTACACTCTTCACTTAGACTATCCTCTTGTAAATATTTGGGAGGAGAAGTTTGAGATGTTGTCATGATTTTGATGATTGAGTGTGCTTTCTTCTAGTTACTTATATAGATATCAAAATAGGTAGATTATCTACATTATCATTTAAGTCATTAAATCAAATTATAATTTAAAAAAGGAAAAAAGTTAAATAACCTTCCTAGTCAAAAAGATTATCACATCACCTCTCTTACTCTTATGTCCAAAATATATACCTATAAAGATAATTATATGCCATTATCATTTAAGTCACTTAAATCATAATTTTAAAAGGAAAAAGGATAAATGACTTTCCAAGTGATAGTCTCTTTGAGCTATCTACTATAACCATGTAAGTCGTCTATATTAGTCAAAATGGGAAAAATAAATGATTTCCTAGTCATCCTCGAATTATATAGATAAATCTTTCATAATTATTTAAATCACCTATTAATAAAAAAGAAAAATGAATAAATGATTTCCCTAGTCATAACTACGTCACTTCGAATTATATAGATAAATTACATCTCATAATTATTTAAGTCACGTATTAGTGAAAAAGAAAAAAGAACAAATGCTTTTCCTAGTCATCCTCGAATTATATAGACAAATTAGATTATATGTCATAATCATTTAAGTAACCTATTAGAAAAAAGGAAAAAAAAAATAATTTTTCTAGTCATAGAGAGTACTACGTCACCTTGAATTATATAGATAAATAACTAGTCATAATTATTTAAGTCGCCTATTAGTCGAAGGGAAAAATAAATTATATTCCTAGTCATCCTTGAATTATATATATAATTACCTACCATAATAATTTAAGTCACCTATTAGTGAAAAAGGAAAAAATAAATGATTTTTCTAGTCATAGGAAGTATCACATGCATCACCTTGAATTATATGGATAAATAACTTGTCATATTCGTTTTTTCATTGACTGCACAAGACGGATCGAAGGGTTTTTTTCATTTAAAATGACGGTAATGAATATGGATTATTTTATTTATAGAATCGTCATTTAGAATTAATTTATGGTATTCCAAGTCACCTTTTGAATTCCTGATCAAAAGAAAATGTATCTTTTATTGGTTTGCGAAAAAAAAGGAGAGTAAGGAATTTTGTTGACCAAGGGAAATGTATGAGGCGCCCTGAATCCCGTGATTTTAACACGATCACTTTTATCAACTTATAATTGATTAATAATTAATCTTGGATACATCATTTGCCTATGACTCACTTAAAAAATTGTTGAATTATATTATTCTTAACTAAGACGTGATGTTGCGACCTTAGCTTCGACATACACTTATAAAGATGCGTAAACGCGACCTCTCCTTGTGTATCACACTTAAAAGTCTACTAGTTTGTTGAATCAAAGATTATACTTTTAAGAAGATTTAGATCAAGACGCGTAAATGCGACCTTGTCACTTATTAATTGTGACGCAAAGTTGCGACCTTAGTTAAGACGAGAGATTACGAGCCTAATATATATGTAACAAAACTAAGCATATTCTAGTGAATCGATTAATGAAGTAAAAATGAATAGTAAAATTGCTTTAACAACTTTGAAAACCTAAATCCTTTATTAATTAATGTATAAACTTGTTTGCACTGTAGTATCCCTCATGATCATGATAATGAGCAAACAAGCACTATATATCTTTTGGCTATTCAAAGAAGGAAGCAGAAAATTCTTTTCGTTAAAAGCCCTTTTTAAAATTTTGAATTTACCCATTTAATAAGATACACCTTCTATTTCAGTTTATATGACATTATTTTCTTATTAGTTCATTCCAAAATAGAATGATACATTTTTATATTTTGAAGAAGCATATTCAACTGATCACCCTTCAATTTATGTTGATGTTGATGTGCCATGTGTTTAATGGCATATAATAACGTATTTCGAGAAAATTAAACAAAAGTTTTTCTTTACCTTTGTTGCAAACTTTGAAGTGTGGCTGTTATTGAATAGGTGTAATATTGTATGAGTGATTTACGGGGCAAATCTTCTTTGGCAATAAATGACCAAATTTGCACCAAATAATAGTGAAATGTGATTATTTGCCAAAGAGGATTAACCCAGTAATGCATCCACACAGATTTAAGTCTCACTTGACCAATTGATTTGATGTTGTGTATTTTTAATACTATATGAAACTCTTCTATAGCAAAGAGGAAAAAAGCAAGTATTCGTTTACTGGAGTATATTTCAATGCATATGCTCTATGTAAAGAAATTGGAATAATGTTGCAAAATCTATTTATATACCTCGTCCACGTTTCAGTTTATGTGATATTTTTTTTAGTCTATTCCAATAATGAACGATACACCTCTAAATTTGAAAATAATTAACCATACACTTAAGTTTTTATCCTTAATGAGAAGTTTTATAACCATATAAATGTTCTGCATGGTAAGGCCACAATTTTCAAAAAGTATAGCCACACAGTTTATGACATGTTTCAGACTATAAATTTATCAACAAAAAAAAAACCAAATATTTCTTTGGATGTGGCCCTTTCCCAAATCCTACTAAATGCGAGATGTTTAGTACATCAGATTGTTCTTTTTAAATTTTTGGTTTAATCAGATGAATAAAGTCGTTCCATTTCTTGTTCCATATAACTTTAGAAAAAAGAGGTTCAATTCTGAATCCGTCTCTAGTTATTCCTTGATCTTCTAATTAGAAGTAAAAGTGAATTTAGGAGTACTATCTGATGAGAATTTATGTCAACATTAACAAATCAATGTGACACTTATGAGAAAGCAACAACAATAGCAGCATAATATCACAAAAGGGAAAAAGAGTGAGATCTCTAAAGTTTTTTACCATGATTCCATGAAAAAATAAATTATGTTGTGGGAATCTCTTGTTGTTGAATAGTCTTAATGGCATTTGTTGGCATATGCTTTCTTGTTGTCATAGGATATCCTTATAAGGTGCCATGAACTCATAGAACTCTTCATATGCTAGAGATTGGATTAAGGGTGCTAAATTTAGTTAGTCGATAAAAATATAATTCGTTCAATCTCTAGGCGCGAGTTGGTTGAGCTAGCATATATTTGTTGAGGCTAGTTTGGGTATAACCAAATTTGTCCATATAAAGTTTGAGTAAATTTGGATAGTATGTAGTCCATATTGACTTATAAGTAAATAAATAAAAATTGGTTGAATAACATATATGTAGTCTATATTTACTTCAACATCTTTTCAATGAACAGAAATTAAAGAATAAATCAAGAAACTAAAGCTGGAGACAATAATGAAGTCATGATGAAGTTATATGTTAAATCAAGAAATTAAAGAGACAATAATGAAGTAATGATGGAGTTATATGTTAAATCAAGAAATTAAAGAGACAATAATGAAGTAATGATGGAGTTATATGTTCTATTGACCTCTCATGCATGGGAATGTAATTCCACAACTAGATTCAGAATTTAATTAAATATTATGAATTCTGTCTCCTAAGATAATAATCTCAAGTTCTCTAGTAAATTGATTTTGAATTTAACATATAAATACAAAATTTTAATTAGAACTACTAAATTATATCGAATTAAATGTCATGACCCTTTTAACAAGGAGAATATATTGCCACAACATCACATCATGTCTTTTTTCTTTTTCTTTTTCTTCAGCATATCCCAAATGAATTATGCCAAAATCAAATGACTATAAATGTTGGTGAACAAATTAGAAACTACTCAAAAGAATTTGAAGAATTGGAGAGGACAAGAAACGCAGGGTATTCTCCTCTAGCAAGATTGATATATATTGCTTTATGCGTGAATTAAATTCTTTCTTGCCAAGGGAGAATTGCCCTGCGTTTCTTCATTTCCACAAAAGTCTAATTTAGACATGTCTAATTCATCTGGTGTCTGATATTTATATTAAAATTCAATTAAATTTGAATTCTCTCATTGCGGGATTCATTTTTAAGGGCAACACTTTCAGCATGAGTTTTTTAATGGCATGTTTATTTAGAGTCGAAAACTTAAAACAAATGATATATTTAAACTATTCCTCAAACTCAACTAAAAAGTTGGATAGACAACACTTTTGTTTTTGGTTATTCATTTGGTGTTCGGTACTCATATTGAAGCCTGACTAATTGGGATTTGCACTGAGTGGTGCTCATTGTTGGGAAGCGCTTCCTATCAAGAATTTTTTCATATCAAAAACTCAAAACCAAGATCTTTAATTAAAAAAGAAGCAACTCTATCTGCTGCATCACATCTTTTTGGTAGTGATAATTAACACTAAGTTGTAATGCAAACAAGAAAATTAAAAGAGATCAACACTTCACATTTTGTCTTTTCTCTTTCACTTTCATACCTTATGGGCTAACAAAAAGAAAGTGATTTTTTTTTTACCTTGATTACCTGAACAACTAGCTAGAAGGACAATAATAATAATAAAAGGGGGACAAAACTTAGAACTATTTATTACTTGAGATTTTCAAAACTTTGCTTTTGGATAGCCATTTGAAGTGCTCTAGTCAAAGCTCTTACATCCAAAGTATCTTCATTTCCAGCTTCCACAATAGCTTCCATCCCAAAGAAGTACCTACTTGTAACCCTAGCTTGAACAACAATTAGTTTCATATCTTCAAATGCCTCCAAAATTGATACTAGTACATCTTTTCCCTTTTTGCATGTCACTTTCACCAAAAATCTTGTCCCAATAAGCTTTTCCACCTTCAATTCCTACAACAATGATAAATAATAATAACTACGACTCAATTCCAAACAAATTTTAACTAGCTATATGGGACCATTACTGACCCTCATTAGAAAAAATGATCATCAGGAATCTATCGTTAAATAGTTCATAGTTAATAGAATTGTTTTTGTATTATTTTGTTGCTGATTTGTCACTGAATGGCACATATAGCTAACAGAATTTTATGATAATCCATCGCTACTTTGTGATAAATTTTGTTATTTAGCTACATAATTTAGTAGTCGTTACTTCATCTTTCTATTGCGTATTTCAAATTCAACTCATGTCATTATCATATTAAATAAAAATAAGAGTGAAAAACAAATTAAATAATACTCCCTCCGTTTCAATTGTTTGTCTTACTTTTTTTTCGTCCATTAAAAAATACCTTTTTTTTTTATGACTCTTTCACTTTAACTGACACATGGCATGCTTAACAACACAAGATTGAAGAACATTTTTTGTACTTTCTAAATATTTTAGGACCATAAAGTTCAAAAAACAATTCTTACTTTCTTAAACTACGTGTCAAGTAAAAAACATAATAACAAGTTATATATATATATATATATATATATATATATATAGAGAGAGAGAGAGAGAGTACTTGGACATGATTTAAGAGTTGTTGGTACTCTCTTTGAATGGCTTCTAGCTGGAGTCTAAGCTTGATGATATAAAGGAAAGCATCCAAGATAATAGAGTTCTTTTTCACCTTCACAAAAAGTAAAATAACATAAATAAATTAGGTAGTTGCTTTACTGTTTTTAAAAAATATATATATACACCATATTTTGAAACTTTAATTAAAAGTGACTAGAGGAAAATAAATGCACTCTATCCATTTCATTTAAACTGACATTATTTCTTTATTAATTTGTGAAAAAAGAATAGGGACTTTGAGAATAATTTAATTTTAAACATACACATTTTATTTTGAATATTCTTTACGTTAAATTTATCTGAAGTAATCCATAGTACTAAGATAAAAAAATAGTAATCATATTATGTATTTCAAACTACGTCACGTAAATTAAAGCACAGAAAATATATATAAAAGCTAAATTAAAGAAGAAAATGGTGATTTACTGATTTGGAGTTTGTAAGTGTTCGTAAAAGGTGAAGCTTGCTACGCATTGCCATTTTAGTTTGCACTCTTCTTGATGCCATTTCTCTCTCTACTTTTCTGTTTCTCTCTCTCTCTCTTTTGTTAATGGTTTTGTTGATGTGAATAATGAATAAAGAAGAGGTTTTTATAGAAGGAATGATGTAATAAGTGATTGGTATGACCATTAAAGAATGTGGTGCAATGAACGAGGTTGTTCCTTTCTTAATCAGATGACTCAGGTTTGAGCCTTGAATATAAATTGTGGTGGAATAGTCAGGATCCTTTCATTCTTGATTAAAGATCTCGGGTTTGAATGCATGAAAATAAAAAAGAATATTGGGAGTGTTGCCTTTAGAAATAGGTTTTATAATGTGCGAATATTTGAATTTAATCAGACTCTAATACAAATATTGACATCGCGTAAAATACAAAAAAAAATAATGTACGTCATAGCATCATGCATGAATTGTGGTGGAATAGTTTGGATCCATTTACCCTACAACCTCGAATTCGAATGTCTGGAAATGAAAAAAAATCATGGTATATAAAAGTATCATCTCTGAAAATAAATCCTACGAATTTCAAATTTAATCAAATTTTAATATAAATATTAATGGTCAAGTGGAAAACACCCCCAAAGAAAGAAAGGAAGATGTAATAGGTGATCACGGAATGTCAAGTTATTTGCTGACATAGTTCCCTTTTTCTATCTCTAGGTTGTCACTCTCTCTTTTAAGTACACTTTTCCTTGATTTATGTGATGATATTTGATTAAATATTTTTTAAGAAAATTATATTATGATAAAATAAAAGAATATTTAAAAATATTATGATAAAACGTTACGTTGTTTTGTTGTAAAGACATAATATGTGTCTGTAAATCATTTCATAGACATTTCTCTTAATTATTTGATCTTTTTTTTCCAAATACTTTATTCTTGATGAAAATTATAGGGGACTTTTAATTATGAAATATTTGGATACATAAATGGGTAGGCAAAAGTTAAAAGAGAGTCCAAAATTGTACAGTCACTGGCAATTTGCCTTATAACATGGAATCAGCTGAAAAGGACTGATAGGAATGACAAATGCCATGTAACAAGACAACCCTTCTCAATGCAGGTTAGGTTAGATTAGGACCTCCAACTTTATCTTTCGTTGAAGTCCGATTAATTTAAATTCACACTAGAAAAATATTTGGAGATAATTAACGCATTTTCTTATTAAAGGTAAATGCAACATTGGAGTTTTTGAAATTGAAATAAATTTGGAACGGATGGGTCATATTATACTACTAGGTTGAACCAAATGCACTCCCAAAAATTCGAATTTGAAATCTTTAATATCTAAAAATAAATAAATACTTATCACTTTATCACAATTATTAATAGTTAATTTGTCGTTATTTATATGACGAGTAATTTTAATTAAAAAGAACATCACTTAAAATCGATAAATACTTATTCACTCTTGATATTCACAACGATAGTACTTAATTGTGTTTTTATCTTCTAAGTTTCTAATCTCATCCTTTCCATTCCCCACACCTTTACCCCTACCCCACCATTATAATATTTGCTTAAATTAGTACTATGTGTGTGTATATATATACACACTTTAGAATAATATTTGGTTACATACCAGCTTAGTCACTAATTTTGAGACTCGTTTGATAATGAGTTGGTGATAGTTCAGGTAGAAAATGCAAACATATGATAATCAGATAGAAAAAACTCAAATAATAATATTTCAAATATGTCATTTTGTCATTATTTTAATTTTATATTACTAATTATTTATCAGAACACATTTCGAGGCTAACTAGACCTAGTGTTTGAATACAATTACCAAAAGGAGCATGACAACTTAATTTTCTCATAAAATTTCGCCTACAAAACAGTTGACTCACTAATTTCTAGTGATAGTTCAAATAGAAAATGTAAATACCTATTAGTTCAAATAGAAAGCTTGCAAAAACTAACTTTCCAAATTTGTTTACTATCGTTATTCCATTTTTAATATTGTTTATAAAATTCTAGCCAACTACCAAAAAAAACTTCGGACTTTGCATTACATGTAGGAATAGGAGTAGGGAATGGAATTTGGGAATAATGGGGGGGGAGTATATGGAATTTAAATTAAGTGATGGATGCATGTCAAATTTGTGAGTCAGTCAGCAATAGATATGCAGTACAAGTCATCACGAGACCAATCAATTAGCTAATTTCACCCAATGACTCAACTTCTGTTTGCCTAAATTTGTCAGTGTTGTAGCTCACATGCCCTGCCAACTAAAGCTCTATCTGTTTTATTCCATCTTCTTTCCACTTGTATATTCTTGGTATTCAAAAACCTTTTACTGAAAGTATTATATATATAATAGTAATTTACAATCAAATATATATATATATATATATATATATACTAGTTTTCGAACACGTGCATTCCAGGCTAAGTAATAGTTTATTAAAATAATATTAGAATAAATGTGTGATGAGTTATATGAACTTTGAAAGGGATAAGTTACCTTTTGTCTGAATTAAACTTCAGAGTCCTTTCATATTCAAATTTTATAGAAATAATTAGTTAAAATTTATAATATCAAATGTAACATGACAATCTATTAAGATCAACGTGCTTCATGCGTGCAACATCACATTAGACAAAGAACTTCAAAGTATGAATTAAGCCTCTAAAATACAAGTTCATCTACAATATATCATCTCATATATAACAAAATTATCTATAGTAATTCATGCAATTACGCATTCAAGTGTAACCCAAACTAAAGCTTATTAGCATAAAACTAAGATACAACAACAACAACTTTACTAATCAACATCACGTGGGGGTAAACTACCACAAAATACATTCTTAACAAAATATCGAAACTATTGCTTCATTATATTATTGTCTCAAATTTGCAGTTGGCTAGATAGACTTTACTCTTTATATTAGTATGTATATCAAACAAGTTAAATAATCTAATTTTCAATTATATGAAATAATTCGAATAACAATATACTTACCTGAACTACTGTGTGAATCAAGTGGAACTACATCTTATGCTTTATCCAGAAGTGTTATGAGTATTATATAAAACTTAATAAATTACATGAAAAGCGTTTTAACCGATAAAAAATAAAAGAAGCAGTAGACGTAAAATAATGGGATAAGCTCATATAATTGTATGATAGATTCGTGAACTTCACGTTAATGTTTTCCCAATTTATTGATTTATTTATTAAAGGTAAATTTATTATTTGGTATATATTATAAAAAGGTAGTACGTGTTTAGATATGGGTAAAAATGTATCATTAAGAAGGTGATTTTGATCTATGTATTCATGAATAGGGGAAAACGAACCAACATTACTTTTTAAATAATTATTGAAAACTGAAAAAATATATACAATTGTTCTAAACTTTGCGTGGACATTCAATTTGATAGGATTTATTTAGTTTTTCATTACTTTAATCTAATAGTATAGCTAGATAGATACATATTAAAACCTTGAATATACTTTTTTCCTTCGAGGCTTGTATAGCTCCAAACATGCAATCACATTTATTCATAAATTTAAGTTATTATTGTATTTCTAAAGAATAACATAAAATATGGTACATTAAAGGTAATTCATAGATTGCAAGAGAATTTTCTTTCGAAGTTATCGAATAATATCATAATAAAATGATACGATGTAAAAATATATATAGTGTGCATCTTTTGTTCACCTAGTCACCACAAAATTTGTAACCATCATAAAGAAAAAATAACATTAGAGTTTTCTGGCTTTTCGACTCTAAAAATAATCATTATGACGGATATAGTAGTATTCCATGCAATATATATTGGGGACTGATGGTGAAAAGGATAAAACAAACAACATCAAAAAATTAAATCTAAAAATCAAACAAAATTGACCAAATATAAAAGAATAAATATATAATAGAATCTACAAATAGAACATAATATTAATATGTGTGCATCTGTAGATTTTCTTTCATTCAACATCTCTTCAACCTTGAAAAATGACAATAGTTAATGACTACAAAACAAATATCAAATTATACAAGAAGCAAAAGAGAAGTAATATTGAAATTAAACAATCAAGAGATACAATAATGATATGTGACTAATTTTTAAAAAAATCTCTTACCATCAAGTTATTGAGGTGTGTATATATATATAGCAACAATTAGAGACATGGGGTTCTTCATTATTCCTCACACCTTGATAATGAAGCTGATGACAATTCGTTCATATCATGAGCATCGCCATGGTTCATTATCTTAATGAAACAGGCAAAAAATAAAATAAAAATTAAGACTACTTCATGACAAAGTTTATAGGAAAGTACCTTCTCATGAAGCACACAAGTGTATTTATAAGTTAGGGAATATATCTTAATGTTATATAGAAATTCAAAAGTCATGCTGACAAAAAAGTCATACAAATAACTCTTGGATTCTTCACATACATGCACTTGCATTTAATTTGTAATTGGGTTCTTCACCATACATGCACTTGCATTTAATTTGTAATTACTTCTTTTGGCTAATTCATTATACAATATAATTAATAATTATTTAAATTTCATGCTAATATATAACTCATGATAATCTAAAAATTAATTAAAATATTATTACTTAATATTTAATTAATTAGATTTTAAAAACATTTTAATTAACAACAAGGCAAAACTGTAATCCAACTTTGAAGACAAAGTCTTCCCACTTATAATAATAATAATAATATAATATATATATATATATAATTAGTGAAGTTCTTCATATATATGATAGTCATTAAAACTTACCTTAGCTCTGCTCAACGTGCATGAGCAAAAGCTACTAAATTTATGTGAACTCAAATGTTGGTTGGTAGATCCACCCCTACCTAGCTAGTTGTCTCCTCTCCTTCTTATCTTTTTTCTTTCTTCATCGATTTCAATTTAAGTGATGATGTTTGACTGGACACATAGTTTAAGAGAAAAAAAATCTTTTGAAACTTAGAATCTAAAGCATTCTATATATATTTATGCGGTTATAAATGAGATAACTAAGGATACAATAAGAAGTTTAAAGTTCAA